CCCTCCCCTCCTCCCGCCATTCCTCTCCCCTCCCACGATGTTTCTCTTGTCACAGTCTAATGCTGAGCTGACCTTGGCTCTAGACTCTGTGGATCACTAAACTACTTTAACTCTTAAATTGTTGCTTTCTAATCGACTGTTACATCTAATAGAATATGCTCTCCCTTCTGTTTTTTAAATTATTCTTCCAGGTAAGCATCAAAAAATATTTTGTCAAGCTTTAAAACAAAAATTCTATGTGGATTTTAGAGTGACATTAACTGTGTAGATTAATTCATGAAGAGCTGACACCTTAGCTCCAGCGAGCCGACGCACTCGCTTCCCATTTGCTTGCGCTGTGTTCTTACGCTCCGCGGCGATGTTCACATTAAACAATTTCTAACGTCCTTTCAAGTCCCTGGAATGTAGGGTTCGACACGCGCGCATGTGCACACCGTTCGACGCGTTGGGCCTGATAGCTAGTGAGCCCACACGGCGGCTTTGCCAGGGCGAGAGAGCAGCAGCGACCGCGTCCCGGCTCCGCGTTGCAGCACAGGGGCGGCAGGGAGGGCGGAGGCCGCTCGCGGGCGGGCCGGAGGAGGAGGAGGCCGAGGGGCGCTGGGCCAGCTCAGACCCCGGCTCGACCCACCCCCGATGTACAGGGCCCCCTGGAGGCACTGACCACCGGCAGCAGTCGCTAGGGACAAAAAAGTGCCGCAGTTTTTCAGTTATTAAAATATTCAAGTTCCAACAGCCTCCACGCACAGTTAAAAACAAAACAACAACAATAAAAAAAAAAAAAGCTAAACAAATTTATAGCCTAAAGAACTGAAAGCATCAGGCAAGCTTTTATTAATTTCTCAAATTATACAGGAAAACACAGCCGCAGAACCTCTGGCTTCTGGAACTAATGAGGCAAAAGTGTAAAAAAAATTATTATTATTATTATTATTATTATTGTTATTTTTTTTTAACAGTCGTTTGCTCCCTGAAGTCCTCGTTACAGCCAGGCAAGTACCGGGCCGAGGCTCCGAGAACGGTGAAGTGTGTAGACAGCGCAGCTCGGCGGGAGCCCGGGACGCAGCTGCCACCACCGAGAGCTCCCCCACTCGCAGCTGCAGAAACCCACCGAGCGAGCGAGCGAGCGAGCGAGCGACCGCGCTGCCAACTTCCCGAAATCCGTAGCCAGCTTCCTGCCCTCTCGGAGGCTCCTTCTCCGAAGGCTCCCAAGGCTGCTTCTCTTTACCAGCAGGGCTGGTCACGCAGCTTCGCGTCACATTTTGAAGCTGCGAGGGAGGTTGGAACTCCGCCCTCCTTCAATACCCAGAAAGGCTTCCGGTTTTAATATTGCATTGCTGAGCGATCCTTATAATCTCGCTCATAAATGTGCAGCGGATTATCGGTATGTGGGCTGAAGCTCTTAGAACTGTTCAGGGGAATAGCTCTCGCGGACTTCTTGCTGGAAAAAGCAGGACTTCACAATCACCCAGAAAAGCGTCGCAGCACGAGGACCTTCTCCCTGAGTTGCCTGGCCTCCTCGGTGTCACTTGGTGCAGATGGGAGAACTTTAGGGAGCAGGTTGGGGTCTCTGACGTGACCCGCAGGCCACCAGCTCCCTAGGTCTGCCTTTTGAGATCCCAGGGGAAGGTACAGAGGCCAATTGCTGAGGAATGAGGCCACGAGGTCCCCTGCGTGGCCTCCATCCCAGGGAGGCAGCCAAGGAGACTCTTCATCCCAGGCCAGCCCGCGTGGGTCCACGCAGGTCCCTCTTGGGGACGCAGCACAAGGAGGTAGCAGTCCTGGAGTAGCCTCAGGATGGGAGCCCCAGGCTTGGCAGCTCAGAAGGGATCATTTTTCCCTGGATTTCTGCATTTCTAGAGCTTATTTGCCCAGTGGCAAAACTGACTGCATTTTCAAGGGGAAACAGCAGTTGGGCAGAGAACACACCATTGGCTGTCCATTCTGCTCAAACACAAAGCCATTAGTTGGTAGACACAAGGGTCCAGGGCCACCATGAAGGGACACTCAGCCATGCGTGACAGCATTGCGCGGCTAGGTCCGCAGGGCCGACACCCAAGAGTGGCTGGACCCGAGGTATCAGTCAGCGCCTAATTAGAATACGTTCTCCAAGT